AATAATTCGCAGGTATATTTACTGGGTGTTTATTTGTCAGGCCGTGTTGCATAGTTGCTCTTTCACACATTTGGAGACATGTTTGGCTGATGTCTCCATTACATGTTCCCCAGTCTCGGAAGGAAGGCACTTGTTGCCTACATGGATTTTCTGGTGGTAAACAGGAGGCAGAAGAGCTCCAGGGCTTCCCTCATTCAGCAGGTCTTCACTGGGTGCCTAAGAAATGCAGGTGCTGAAAATCCCACGGTCACACTAGCAAGGAACTTCCAGATCCAGTGTGAAAAGGACAAATCGACCCACATCCAGGGCCCCTCTTGCCAAACAGAGCACAGAGGGCAGTGAGTGGGACGGTGGGTGGGGCGGGGGCGGGGTGGAGCAGGGCTGGCACGGGGCTGGGAAGGAGATGAGGTCCCTGGGACGCACAGGATTTAGGGGAAACTTCCGAAGGGAGCTGAACCGGGAAGGAGATGCCCTTTTGCACATGGCCAGGGAGGAAAGGCAGGTCTATAGCCATGCCTGGGATGTGTGCTTTGTTGGTAATTGCCACTTAAGGCCAGGTTTTGTCCCTGTCATGTCTCCGGATGTCTGGCAACTGCAGCAGGGAGGATGCATCACGCAGAGCAAAAACACAGACTGTGGAACAGGCCTGGGAGAAAAAGGAAGTTGGGGACATTCCCTTGGGAGCTCCACAGCAGAAGACAGTGGGTCTAGATTTGGGGAACTCTTCCTAGCCTGACCCTAAAACTGGAGCTGCCAGAGTCTTCCTCACACCTGGTGCCTGCTGTGCCACTCCCGCCTGCCGGTCCCGTCCCCCCTGCCACCCCTCCTTCCCGCCTGCTCTCTCCCTGCAGGCCCTGCAGGCTCCCAATTCGAGATGCCAGTGGCTATACGCCCAGAATCCCTTTTTCCCGGAGCATTGAACTCTAAAGGAGAAAGTGGCTGCACAAATCCACTTACTAAATTAATGATAGCGTCAACTTGCCTTTCCCACGTTGTCTGGTCTCCCCGAGTCTGTCGGGGAGCAGCAGGAGAACAGAGTGACAGGGCCACAGACGCTCGCCGGCAGAGGGACGCGGGGGCACAGGCAGGCGCCAAGACCTTCTCCTGGGGGAGGGGGCGGGGAAGGCGTCGACTGAAGGCAGAGGGGACATGGGCTCCCAGGGCTGGAAACTTCCAGCAAGGGAGAAGCAGGTGCAGGACATGCGCCCGGAGGCCTCACGCAGCCACGGAAGGGGCCGGCGCAGAGCAGCAGGAGGCAGGCGGCCGCGTTGCTATTCGTTCCTGCAGCTCCTCCACCCCCGGGAGCGAGCGTGCAGGGGACTTTCTGTCCCTTCCCAGGGGCATGCAAGCTAGCCTGGTCCCAGGCAGGCTGGCACGCTCGTGCGGTTGGCGAGACGCGCCTGCTCGGGCCTGGAAAGCCCCTTGGGTGCCGGTTCAAAGCCAGCCCAGGCGCAAGCACGTTTGGGAGAGAGCAGTCATGCAAATGCGCCGTCTCCGGCTGGGGTCACGGAAGTGGACAGAGCCACTCTGTGTCTGTGTGGCTCGCTGCCACCGACAGCGAGGTGCCCCCGGCAGCTATCCCTGCTGGAGAACGCTGCCTTGGTGACCCGGATGATGTCAGGGGAACCGATTCCCACTCGAACGAGCGGGGCGAGCGACTGTGTGTTTCTGCCCAGCGTGGATCTGAGCTGACGGTCCTGAACAGCCTCTCGCGGAGGCTGTGTGCTCCTGTCCTGGCCCCGCCGTCCAGGAGAAAACAGCCTGTTCACAGCGAGGGGGAGTCCATGGCTTTCTTTATTTCCATATTAGGGAATACTAACGTCCCCACCAGAGAAACAGCAGCACAGACTTTTCCTGAGAAAAGGGAGAAGGAAAAGAGTAAAGAAAGAAGTCTGGAACCAGGAGCTGACGCGGCTCGCCGTCAGCGATGGCAGGGGCAGGCGGGGCATTTGGGGAAGGCGGTATGTGACTATGCATCGCGAAGGCGAGAAATTCGCAAAATATTTCTGTAGCTTTTTGAAAACTGATTTCATTGGAGCAGCATCTCTTTCTTAAGGGGATCATGAACAATACATATTTTAATATGCAAACAGATGTGCGTGTGTTGCTCTGCACTCCTGGCACTCTGTCCCCTGAAATAATGGTCATGCTGTCCTCTGCTGGGAGGAGGCACCTTCGCCAGGCAGTGTCCTGGCCCGGGAGCCGCAGGCGTCAGGGTTCGGGGTGCGGGAAGGGGTTTTGGGGAGGAAACAGCCACCGCACCAGCTTTGCACGCTGGGCCAGCGACTGTGCGACAACAGGAGGAAAGTCTGTGAGAGAGAACTTCGAAAAGGCCACGGACGAGGGCTGTGTCTCCCGCAGGACAAGGTGGAGCTGGACACGCGCCTGTGTCTGCGCATGGAGACCGTGGCTGTGGACCGCGGGAGCCGGCTGAGGGTGCCAAGCTCTGCTGCGTGGGGAGAGAGCCCGACGCCGTCCCCCGCTGCACCGGAGGGCTGCTGGGAAGGGCCGCAGCTCCAAGGGGCTCTGAGTCCTGGCAGCCTGTCTGGGCCCGCACGCGGCCGGGGAGCAGCCGCCAGCAGAGTCCTGAGCCTGCACACCTGAGCGTGGGCTGAGACGGTGCAGGCTCAACACCCCGGTCCCCAGCAGAGGGGGCCACCGGACGCCGTCTCGCTTGAGCTCGCTCACGGCAGTCACGCTGGAGCCGGATCAGAGCCCCCGACCTCTGGGCACAGCGCTCGGGCTCGGTTATCTGCAGGGAAGCTCGGCTGCCTCCCCAGACCTTCACCCCTGACCCTCCCGTAAACCCGGCTCCCGTGCGGGACGGCAGGCCCGACGCCCAAGACATGCTTTATTGCTTTATTTGCTTCTCAGCTAGACCTAGGACCCCGCCTGGCCTTCCGGGGCGGCTGGTCCAGCAGAGCACTTTGTGTTCACTCTATCTGCTTATTTTTACGGTTTTATCTTCGCCTTTTATTGAGTGATTTTTTTTTTAGTTCATTTTACCTTGTTTTTTTCTCTTTTACCTGTAACTTTTACATGGGGAGTAAGAGGCGACGGCTGCAGATGTGAAGGCAGGTGCTGGGCCGCGAGGGGAGGCCCGTGTCTTCCGTGAGCCGCCGGTCCAGCGCTTTGCTGGCCCGAGGGCGGGTCCTGGAGCCAGGTACAGCCCCACCAGAAAAGCCTCCTGGTGATGGGTTCCAGAAATGCACTACAGCCGTGTGCTGTGGTCACGCCTGTCCCTGCGCTGCACTTCTCTGATCCCCTCCGGCGAGGCTGCAGGGCCTGATGCAGCCTGAGAAGTCTGGCCCAGCACGGCTCAGCTTACCCTCTCAGCTGTCCACACGCAAGCCCTCGGCGCTGGCCAAGCCCACGGCGCTGGCCAAGCCCACGGCGCTGGCCAAGCCCACGGTTCCTGCTCCACGGTGGGCGCACCCCCCGCCTTTGCCCGCAGTGCTCCTTGCTGGGGTGCTGCCTACTTTTATCTCCGCTCAGCTGTGATCCCCCCCACGCCTCCTTGTGCCGCGCACCCCTTAGGCTACTGGCCCCACCGAGCCTTGGGCCGGCACTATTTTGGAGTCTACACATGTCAGCTTGTAACCTCTGCTCTCATGCGTATGCTCACGTAACTCTTGAAAATCTATGTTTATGACGCACGTTCGACCCACAAGGATCTTCCTGACTCATTAGAACGTCTCACATGTGCACACGTCAAGACCAGGAAAAGCAGGAGGAAGGTCACCTGGGAGTCTACACCCCCCTTGTGACGAAGGGTCCACTTGGACTCGCGTCGGACTCTGGGTCAGGCGCTGGCTCCAGGAGGAACGCCTGGACAGACACATTGGGGACCGAAACCCCACACTGTGCGGAGCCTGTGCTCCACTTCCGTCCGCGCAGACCCCGGACTCCGACCCAAAGACGGATATTTGACAGCGCCTGCTGTGCGGGTCTGCGTTTGAGTTCGGGGAGTCACTGTGGGGTGAGTGTGCGAGGGAGAAATGACGCTGGCCTTGGGGGCTGAAAACAGCCTCAAAAGGGAGCGGTGGTGGCACGTGTGACAGGCCGAGGGGCACGTGTGATGGTCCGGGCGGCATGTGTGACATCCAGGTGGCATGTGGGACAGTTGGGCGGCACCTGTGACAGTCGGGTGGCACATGTGACAGTCGGGCGGCACTGTGACTGGGCGGCACGTGTGACAGGTACATGTGACAGTCAGGCGGCACATGTGACAGTCGGACAGCATGTGTGACAGTCCATGTGGCACATGTGACACTTGGGCGGCACTGTGACTGTCTGGGCGGCACGTGTGACAGGTACATGTGACAGTCGGGCGGCACATGTGACAGTCCATGTGGCACGTGTGACAGTTGGGCGGCACGTGTGACAGTCCGGGAGGCACGTGTCACAGGCGGCACGTGTGACAGTCTGGGCAGCATGTGTGACAACTGGGCGGCATGAGTGACAGCCGGTGGCATTTGGGGTCCTGAGGCTGCTCTAGCAACTTGCGACAAAGCGGGGCAGAGGCAACACGGCGAGTCCTCCCGCAGCCCCGGCCTGGACGTTTGCAGCTGAGGAGCCAGCAGGACCTGCTCCCCGGAAGGACCTAGAAGAGGTTGCGCCCCGCCTTTTCCAGCTCGGAGGCACCTCGCCCCTGCGCTTGCAGACACACGAACACAACCTGCCTCGTCTGCACAAGGCCGTTTCCCGAGTGTGACTCTCTCTGTTCGCGGCGTTCTCCTCTCTGTGCCTGTGTCCAGGTCTCTCTCTTCTCAAAAGCGCACCCGTGGTGGACGGGGCCCACCAAGTCCAGTGTGGCCCCATGTTCACGTGGCTTCACCTGCAAGGCCCCACCTCCAGATGCGGTCCCGCGTGAGCTCCTGTGTGCACGCGGGTTCTGGAGGCCCCCGTTCAGTCCAGCGCAGTCAGGTACCACAGGAAAGCACTGACTCGGCGGCACAGGGCAGGAGCAGTGTGTTTTGAAAAAGGAACTTCTTTTCTGCTGTGACAGGTAGTTTTAATCTTTTATAAAGTGGGGGTGACACAGAGATCTGGGCAGGTGGGGCGGGGCGCACGGCTGGGGACCCGGGGCAGGAGACCTGGGCTTCTCCTGGTCCTCCCTCCGTTCCAGGGTCTCGGGCGAGCCAGTTAACCTCCCGGAGACCCCGCGCTGTCAGGCGCGATTACCCGACAGACGTTTGCTTCGGAGTTATCAGGCTCTGGGCACGGACTCTGCCCTTAAGAAGCCCGTGATCTGTGAGAGTCGACTAATTCGATGTGACAAGAGAATATGTAAAAGGCAGGAAAGAAAAGAGGTAAGTGGACAACAGTCATTCCCGTGCCTGCCGAGGGCTGGGGACAGAGGCTCGACCGAGGGGAGGGGACAGGTGCGCAGAAGAGAGGGGCTCAGCCCCTGCCGTGGGGTGACAGAGACCAAAGGCAGAGCGTTTGGGAGCAGCTGGTGGCTCGGCCCTCGGGTGGGTGTGTGGACCAGCAGCAGAGTCCCCTGGCTGTGTGGCCATCCCAGGCATAAGAGCGGCCTCACAGACCGGTGGCCTGGGCTCTGTGCTTTAGCACAATCTGGATGACACCATGGATGCCCTTTGGAATGAACGACGGTCTGGCTCAGGAGCCGAACCTGGGGCTCCTCTGGTCCTGCTGCTGAGATGCTGGGGCCGGCGGGAGAGGCCAGTGCCGAGGTCAGTGGGGAACAGGGCAGGGAGAGGGACCAGCCGAGGGGAGGAGGGCTTGGTGGGGCCGGAGGAAGGTTCGATCGGGAGAACCGCGCGTCCCGAGGTGCGAGGGGAGAGTCTGGGGAGTTTGCTTCTGACCACAGCTCCTTTCCTCAGAACCAGGAGGCTGCACAGCCGCTGGAAGCCCGCGGGTGGCTGGGGTGGAGACAGGGGCAAGAGCTGCCCGGGGAAAGGACTGTACGTGCTGGGACGCGTCCGTCCTCTGTCCGTTCGGCACCCTTCCCTGCTCCCACCTGAGCACCACCACGTCCCACGGTGCCTCCTTGAGCAGCAAGTCGGAATCGCCAAACTCAGGGCCTGGAGCGGGAAGAAAGAAAAGGGAAGCACACGTGTTCTGCATTCCAAGGGGAGGTTTTTCAAACACCTCACACCCAAACGAGAGGTGACTGGAGGTGAAGCTCTGAGTCCTGGCGGTCCTCAGGGGACAGGCACGGCTCTGGGGAGGGGGCCCAGGACCACCAGCCAGTGCCAGCCCATCCCCTGCCATCCCAGGACACGGAGCACCCAGGCAGGTGGGCGCTGCTTCGAGAACACGCTCCGGACCGTCCTGTGTCCAGGGCCGGGGGCCTCGGGGGCCCTCAGCCGTCGACCTCACTGCCCGGGGGCCTGAGCCAGGCAGAGCTGACACGGCGGCATCTGTCCTGCGTTTCCTCCCCGGCGGCGCGCCTGGGGGCTGGGCACAGCAGACAGCAAACAGCCCGGCCTCCGAGCTCCTCCTCTCACACGACTCACGATTAAATCCCTCCCAATCAAAGCGACAGATGAAACGTGTTTATTAATAAAAGTCCCATCAGGAAGATTGGAGACGAATGATTAGTAACACCCACCCCGTCTTACTTAGAGACAGACCCCCTCATGGAGAGGCATCTGTGGAGGGCGGGAATTCCCGAGCAGGTTGGGATGGAAGCATCTGGAAGCTGTTTGCGATCTGGATGAGGAGTCAAGCTGCACACAGACACCGCCTCCAGCCTCAAGGCCGCTCTGCGGAGGGGAGTCGCTGCTTGTTTACAGCGCGACCTTCCCTGCGCTTGTTATCTGTTTTATTTCCTCCTCGGTCCCCGCTCCCCGCCATCCGTGTGCAATTACGTCTGCACAGACATGCCAGCTGCAGGGCCTGTTTGCCGCGCCCACCCCGCAAGCTGTCGGGGCGGGGAGCAGGAGGCGGGGCACAGTGCTCACGCATCTCCGTATCTGGGGTGCAGCAGGCCAGCCCGAGGAAGCAGGAGAGAAACCTGGCCCTTAAAGATGCACACACATGCACACATGCATGCACGCACATGAAAACACGTGTGCACAGTGCACGCATGCATGTATATGCATACACATGCATGCATGTGCACACATGCACACACACGTGCACACACACACATGCACACACAGGCCTCACTCTCCCTGTCCCATCACTGGCTTGTCTCCCTATAGGCGCAAACACTGCACTCATAGGTCCCCGGTTTCCACATCTGGAAACATTCTCTGGGGGGGCCTTCTGTGAATGTTGCCCATTCAGGAGTTTTAAAGAGCAATTACTCCAAGCCCATACCTACCCGCTGGGTAACAGCAAAGTGTCTTCGTTTCCCACTGGTCACCCAGAGACCATAAAGTGTGGTCACCGGTCCCCAGTTTTTGACAGGAGTTCATGCCTTTGCTCCTTAAAAGAATAATCACTTGAAAAAAATCACCCTGGCAGATAAGTGAGTGGATTGGCGTGGAGCCCAACACACAGGGCAGCCCCACAGGCCGGTGTGCACCTGGCGCGGGCCCTGCGGGTGCTCTCCATGGTGCTGCTGAGGGGCAGGACAGATCGAGGCCGCACAAAAAGCAAACACGCAGGTGGGCAGGTGGCTTGTACATCAGCCCAGGAACCTGGTTCGCCTGGTCAAGTTCTTCAGAGAATCCGTCTATACCTGGCTGTGGAGTAGCTTTGGGGCATCCCTTCCACACCGGCGATATCGGGGAACCGAACCTGAGACGAGGCTCCCGGCAAAAGCCCAGGTGAGAACTCCACCTCGGCAATTGCGTGCGTCGCTGTGTCTTGTCTAAAGCTGGAGGTGACCTTGGGGTTTGAGAGAACCAGCGGGACCCTGAAGCCTAAAGGAAAAACTAACGGAGTAAACTCCAGCAAGAGCATGCGGAACGGAGCAGGGCAGAATCCAGACACAGCCAGACGCGGCGTGGACGTCTTCCACCTGCTCTCTGGGGGCCACTTCCCCCAGGCAGGTGACATGGGTCAGTGTATCCACCTGTGGCCTTTCTCACCTGCTGCACCCACAGAAGGTGCTCTCCGCGCTCGACACTTACCTCCATGCTAAGCCAAGCCCCAAGGCCGGCACAGCCCTCCGCTGCGAGTGCCATCCGCCCGTGCGGCCCGGCTGTGGGGTGGCGGCAGGGACCACGTCTCTCCTCGACTTCCTCTCGCAGGTCTGTAAGGCAACGCGGGCTGGGCCTGCCGGGAGCCTCCGCTGTACTTAGGGCCCAGCCCTTGTCAGCCCCTCTGCGTCAGGGTCCCACACCTGCTGGTCCAGGTGGGCCTTACCTGGTCCACCCTTCCTGCCCCGGAGGGCAGGAGACAGTGAGGACCCCAGAGGGGAAGCCCCGAACGTGGAGACGCCCCAGATGTGGAAGGAGTCAACCTAGAGAACGGGAGAATATATTTGTAAACTATGTATCTAAAAAGAGGTTAATGCGCAAAATAGATAAGGAATTCAAACAACTGAATCAGGAAGAAAAAAAAAGGCAAAAGACTTGAATAGACATTTCTCAAAAGCAGACTACAAATGGCCAACTGGCATTTGAAAAAATGCTCAACATCACTAATCATCAGGGAAATGCAAATCAAAAGCACAACGAGATACCATATTACCAAATGAAAAGAGCTGTCATTAAAAAGACCAAAAAATAAAAAACCACACAACAAACAAATGCTGGTGTGGATGTAAAGAAAGGGGAACTCTAAGGCACTGCAGGTGGGAATGTAAATTAGTGCGGCTGTTGTGAAAAAACAGTTTGGAAGTTCCTCAAAAAATTAAAACTGGAACTACCACATGACCCCACCATTTCATAGCTGGGCTTATACCCAAATAAAATGACATCAATATGTTAAAAAGACAGCCGCACCCCGTGTTTTCTGCACCACTATTCACAATAGCCAAGATACGGAATCAGCCCGTGTCAATCCACAGACGCGTGGATAAAGAAAGTGTGGTGCGTGCACACGATGGGTTACTACTCGGCCGTAAAAAAAAGTATGAAGTCCTGTCGTTTGCATCAACACGGATCACCCAGGAGGACATTATGCCAGGTGCCATGAGCCAGCGACAGGAGACGCTCACGGCATGTCCCCCAGAAGCTGGGCTCGCAGAGGCAGAGCAGAGCCGGAGGCCGGGGCTGGGAGGAGACCGTGGAGAAAGAGTGGGCCACGGTGCCAAGTCGCAGGTCTGCGCCGGCATAAGGTCCGAAGTTCTCCACTGTGCAGGGGGAGACGGCGGCTCACCATATTTACTGCGCGTGGCAAAACAGCGAGAAGAGAGATTTTTCAGTGCTCTCGCCACTGATAAATGATAAACGTGCGAGGCATGGAACCCCTACACACCCCATGTGACCATGACACATTGTATACGGGTATGGAAACATCACACTTGGCCCCTGAATATGTATCATATTATGTGTCGGTTTGAAACAAAACAAAACACAGTATCTTGTGGGTTCTGGGAGCAGAACTGAGTCTGACAAGGAACTTAACAGAATCCCTCATAGCCAACACTCGCATGTTCAAAGAAGGTGCACTGTGAAGGCTGCCATCGTGGGATACAGCAGTCAACGTCTCTCACTTTTAACCTTCGGATTTGGACACTTCTTTTGCCAAGAATAAAAAGCTACTGACTTAAAGGTTGTAGTGAAATTAAGATTTTATTAGCCTGGCCACCACTGCACCAGGAAACTTTCTGTGTGTTATGCATACTTGTACTTTCCGTTTTTTCCCGACTTCGGAACGTGTCTATGCTCATTCTATTAAAGCGTTGTCACCAGTACTGATGACTGTGCGTCACTACAGCGATGTGGTGCCTGTGGGATGTCCCCAAGACCTCGTCATCTTGTGGCTTAGCCCGTGTGAGCAGCCTCCTGCCTGCAGTTCAGAAAACCGTTTGGTTCCTTGAAACACAACCCAGGAGACACGTGGGACCGGATTACACATGCGCGGCTGCGTGGCACTGCGTTAGTATATTATTGCATAAGTAATGACTCGTTGGCTGGAATATAAAAAAAAGATTGATAATTTACAAAGAAAGTCAATCAATAAATAAACTGTCCCTAACCAGCTCGAGAGCTGGCAGAATGACATTCCATTATCCTGTCACACGCATCGCAGTCAGAAGCGGGACGCCCCAGCGGGCTGGCACCCTGCCCCGCCGCCGCGCTGGCCGCGCCTCCCCCGCGCCCGGCTTCTCCATCTCCCCCGCGGCCCCTCGGCGCGCGCCCACGCCCAGATACATGTTTGCGTGTCACGTCAGTCTGTGACACTGCGAGGCTGGGGTCTGCCGGTGGGACAGCTGCCCGTGGTGACAGCTCCGTGTCGCCGGGCTCCTGGCAGCTGATCCTCTGCAGACAGCGCTGTCAGAGAATCAGAGACTTCCACATTCGCGGGTGAAATTAACTTCTGTTAGTCTGACATTTCCCACAATCAATACTCACAGGGTCCTTGTCTCCAGGATCAAAATTCATAAATCAAAAGCAGAAAGCATGAAATAAGGTATTTGATAAATCCATTAACTGCGGTGGCAGAGTACTTCTGTCATGCTGTCTGGAGCACACTTGTGTGAGCAAAGCCCTCCGGGTCTGTTTCAGGGCGGGGACGCTGGGAGTTTGTGCCGCTGTTGCGTTCGTCCCCGAGACTGCTGTGGCTGGAAGACGGCGTTTTCGTTTCAGAATGCCAATGTGGTCTGTGTCCTTTCTGCCGGCTCCGGGCCGGCTGGAGTGAGAGAATGAGGCAGAGCTTGCTCTGAGGGGCGGCGTCGCAGTGGCCGTGAGTTTGCTGGACACAAGGTGCCCACTGGGAAGTGGGCTCAGTCCTCACAGGCACAGAGACGCTGGACCGCGTGTGCCTATATGCGCGGATTGCGTCGTGGGCGTATAGCACACGACACACACGTGCTACTGGTGCGTGTGTGACTGTACTACGTTTGTGCCCATACTACATATGTCCCTCCGTCAGCCACGGGACTGGCACTGGCTTGCTGCTCCTCGGGGACTGGAGGCTCAGCGTGGAAGAAGCTCGGCTGTTTATCAACCTCGGCGGGAAACGCACGGCGCACTCTCTCCTTGACCAGGTGTCAGGCTCTCCGCTGCTCTCAGAATTGGTTTATCATTTTATGTGGCACAATTTATGACAGTACAGCAGCTACTCATTCCTTCTGTGCACCAAGCGATGAATTCAAATACTGCAGAAACAAATAAGTTAATACTGCATTACAACCCCTTATCTCTGTTCTCACTGAGCTAGAGGTTCTCGTCCATTTATTTCTGAAAAACGCTCCTAAATCTGCAAATATTGTCTAACGGTCACAGTGGAAATTGCTTTCCTCTGAAAATTAAAAATCAGTAGGTATTTCGTTTTTAAAAAAACAACCTAACAACATTCTTGGTGCCGGGTAGAGCATGCCAAGGTGAGTGTGACGATTCAGTCCTCCCAGCGCGCTTACGGAACCCGAATGCTAAGTGAGAGGACGGGCTACGTGCAACCTCAGTGGACCGTGCGGCCCCACATTGTGCTTTCAGAGTGTAAAGTGGGGAAGTTCTTTCTGCTACAACTAGAAGGAAACTCCTACAGAGCCCATGGATTTTGCATAATTTTTAGATAATAAAATATTCTAAGCTCTCTTTAAGTTGAAAACGTTGGCAAATACATTAGTAATAATTAAAATCCTCCCCGGCCCTGCTCAGGGAGGGCTGGCCGCAGGCAGCGCACCTGTCCTTGGGGAGCAGGTGTGTCTGAGGGTCCCTCTGATTCTTCATGAGTCTGGCTGGCGGTGTTTGTCGCCAACCCCCAAAGGCAGAGAAGACAGCTGGGCGGGATGGCGCCGCCGGGCTGGCACTGAGCCAAGACGGGTTCCCAGTCTCTCTACACTGGGGGTCCCCTAACAGGACTTAAAGAGGGGACAGCCCTTCCCAAAACACAAAACCTCCCTCGAAGAAAATGACCTTGCAAAATCCTCCCAGTGAAAATCCACTGCAAACCTGACTTCTACACTCAAAGAAGGTGACAAGTTTCGAGAGCCATGAAACAGTTTTTATGTGAAAATACTTATATTCCTTTGTTTTCAGGCATCTCCCTTTGCGTGTTTTTGGCTTAGACAAAGCCTGGGAGTTAGCAGCCTGCTCCTTGTCCCCACTCGTGACGGGGGTAATAAGGCCAGTGCCAAAAGTCTTCTAAATAAAGTTGCAGAGGTCTGCAGGAAAGACAGTTCCCACAGAAGCTGGTAATTTTCCAGGCCTTGACTGGGTCAAACTTCCCTAAGAGACAGGAGGCTCAATGTGAGGGGAGACCCGGATGGAAGGAGCCACATGAAGTGAGGTTCAGGGGTGTGAATGCACCTGTAGCTTGGGTGCTTCTTGGTGTTTCTCTTCTGGAGGAAGACAGTGTTCCCAGTGGCTAGAATCGCAGGATGCCCAGGTGAGCAGGAACCCGGGGAAGCAGGTGAGGACCAGCTAAGGAGGAGCAGGTGTAGGCCAGGTTACAAGGAACAGGTGCGGACCAGGTAAAGAGGAGAAGGTGTGGGCCTGGTAATGAGGAGCAGGTGTGAGCCAGGTAAAGGGGAGCAGGTGTCGGCCTAGAAATGGGGAGCAGTTGTGGGCCTGGTAAGGAAAAGCAAGTGTAGAGCAGGTTAGGAGGACCAGGTGTGGGCTAGGTATGACGGAACAGGTGTATACCAGGTAAGAAGGAGAAGTTGTGGACCAGGTAAGGAGTTACAGTTGTGGCCTTGTAAGGAGGAGCAGTTGTGGGCCAGGTATGGAGGAGCAGGTGTGGAACAGGTAAGGAGGAGCAGGTGTGGAACAGTAGATGGAAGCAGGGGTGAGCAGAAGGAGCACGGGGTGGTAGCAGGTAAGGAGAGCAGTTGGCCAGTAAGGAGGAGCAGGTGTGGAGCAGGTAAGGAGGAGCAGGTGGAACGGTAAGGAGGAGCAGGTTGAGGAGGTAAAGGAGGAGCAGGTGGGAACAGGTAAGAGAGCAGGTGTGGACAGGTAAAGGAGGAGCAGGTTGGAACGGAAGGAGGAGGTGTGGCTGTAAAGGAGAGCAGTGTGGTAGTACGGAGTAATAAGAGAAACAGGTGTGGCCCAGGTAAAGAGAAGCAGGTGTTTCCAGGAGGGGCTTGGTTTCCTCATCCAGCACACCTCCGCAGCGTGCTTTCCCTGTAGCACTGGCTCCCCTGGCATGGTCTGTCTGCTACCATCTGTCTGTCTGCTAGACATTTCCTGCCCAATCAGATCGCAAGCCTACTGATTGAACCCAAGACTCGGTTCGTTACTCATATGTTTGATGCTTAAACATCTGTCCACCAGGTTTCATGAATGAAATGAGGAAACGAGGCAAAGCTGTTGCCAGAGAGAACTCTAGATGCTGCCAAGCCCCACACCGAGCAGGCGCAGACAGTGCCGTGCGCTCTCTGGATCAGTAACCTGAGGAGTCAGGTAGGGTGGAGCAAGGCTGACTCTTAGCACCTTGACATTTCTCTTTTTTAGCTCTATAGAAATTAGCAGGGTTTTTCTTTTTATACACAATCATGGCTACTCAGACGTGTCAGAGAAGAAGGTGAGGATTAGTTCTTTCCAGTTAGACACCTTGAGGAGGGAGGTCGTTGCCTGCTGGAGACACTGTGCTGATGTCCTGAGTCCGGGTACCTGTCGCCCACGACATGTTCGTGGAGTTCCGTCCTCACCTAAGAGGCTCCCATGTGGACCGACCAGGTGGTCACACCGTCCTGGGAAAAGCCCGGTGCCTGAGGTGCGGAGGACCACCAGCCTGGTCTCTGGTCAGCGAGGCCAGCAAGGAGGGTAGCCGACCACAACGAGTGGCATCAGTGGCCGGCCAACAGAAACCGCTGGCCTGCAAGGGACGTCTCACCCAGTATGGTTCTAAACAGCCCAGAGGGGCTGGCAGCTCTCTGTGAGCGTGCTCTGAGTCAATGGCAAACTCCGAACGGCAACAGGTGGCTCCGGGCAGAGCCGACCCCTCAGGAGTCCTCCCTGGCTGGCGTGTGAGCCCACGTGTCTCCAGGTGGCACTGAGTCCTCAGGTTTCTCTTTCTGGCTCCCCCATGGGTCCTGAAAGCAATCTTGTTCATCGAATGTACGTGGTGAGTCCGTATTCTGCAGTTTTTCAAGCCTGGGTCGACCACGGACCAGGCCAGCTCCTGCCTCCTGGGCCTTCGCAGTCCAGAGCGAGTCGGGATTTTGTCTGCCCTTCCTCTGCCCGCTGCTGGCAAGAGGCAGTCAGCGCCCCCGTGCGTGTGTCGAGCGTGCTGGACTTGGCCGGGCTGCGGTAGGGGAGGCGTCAATACCTGGACAAGCCAGGAAGAGTCTGTGGCAGAAACGCATAAGCCTGGATTTCAGAGACAGTAAGGGCCTGGTCTCAGAAATAGGCTTCCAGCCACACAGCTGCTCACCGTGGGCTCCGAGGACAAAGTTCCAGCTGAGTAGCTTAAAGGCCATTTATTGCCCGTGTTCGGAGCGGGAAGTCTGAGCTGGGTGCTGACGGAGCTGGTTCAGTGAGGCCTCCCCTCCACGTCCTCACTGCCTTCGTGGCACAACACAGGTGGACAGCAAGCTCTAGCCTTTCGTCTGGGACCCTAACCCCACGCGGGGCCCCACCCCCATAACCTCGTCTGAGTGTGATCTCTGCACCTCCCGATACCACCCCACTGCGCTAGGGCTAACCTGGTTTGGGGGAGACACAGCCCCCAACGTGGGCATGCCAGTGCAGAGGGCACAGGAAGAGGTCCCTCTGGATTCTTCAGGATGAAATTCTGTGGCCAACATGCCCCGGAGGATCGTGCCCCTTCAACGGCGAGGCCCTACGTTGGTCTTCAGGTGTGCAAGCTCGGCCCTTCCAGACGAGCGAGACAAGGGCGTGCGACCAGCGAAGGCCAAGCCCCTCGGCGCCAGTGAGAGAACGTGGAGACACGTGCTGCCGCTGCATCGCGTTGCTTGTGTTCCTTGTATTCATTCCTCACGAAAGGATATCCCGCCTGCCAGTTTAGTCAACCATCCCCCGCCTGGGTGCAGGGGTCCGGGGTGTCTGAGGGCCTAGCGGTGAAGTTCAGGCCAGCCCTCTGTCAGGGCACTT